CAGCCACTGCCCAGTGACTGCCCGGAACCCTTCTTTTGTTATGGGGACATGGGCGCTGGAAGAGGACAGAGTGGTCCACACCATCCACTACTGTCTTCCGATGGTACGAATGACAAATGGATCCAAAAAGTCTCCCAAGGGGGTGTCCTGAGCAAGAGGGAGCCCGATGGCGGTGAAGAGTATAGAAAACCCCTCCCCTACCTCCAGCTTAGAGCCCTCACTCAGTGTCCTTCTGAACGGAGAGCCAACACCCCGTCTAGATAAAATCTTGGATTTCCAACATAGCCCCTGGCCAGAGCCCAGGACCTCTGGGGTTCATTACCCTTTGCTTTGCTCAGAGTGTGAATTTTCTTTGTTGCTTAAGGATCCCACAGCCCCATTTAGCGCCAGCCTCCGTCTCAGATCCCAGCCTTTCTCCTGCTCATTAGATTCACTCTCAGCTCAGCTGGCCTCATTTTAATTTATTTTCTCCGTCTGCTGCGGTGAGGGCTGGGCAGGGAGGCTGCCGAGAGCAGCATGGGGGCCGCCTGGCACATCTCCAGAGCTGGCAGAGGAAATACCATTAGCTTCAAATCCACAGTGGGGGGAAGGGAGGCCAGGCTTTTCACCCAAGGCTAAGCTTCTGGGGGGTAGGGGGGGAGGGAACACAGCAGGGAACAGGCAAGCCTGGGCAGAGCCCTGGCCTTTCTACAGCCGAACGGGGTCCTGGGGGCAGCTGGGAGCTGGAGAGGCACTTGCGCAGAGCACAGAAAACAGGACAGGGAGTGAGCGGGCAGCAGACGCAGCTCCTTCACCTTCGGTGTAACCACCATGACAGGGAGCCCAGGGCCCCTGCTGAAAATGCCTGCGAGACAGGATGATGTGGAATCATCTTTGGAGGCCGAAATTGCAGGTAATAGGATNCGGGCAGGTGTGGAAGTGGGTTGTAGCTTGAGCAGATGTGCGTCAGCGAGTCCCTCACGCTCCGGCAGCGGTGTGGACAGGGGGGCGAGACAGGGAGGCCCATTAGGAGGCTGTCGCTGGGGACCAACGGAACGATGCTCAGGACTGGACTAAACCAGAGAGAGCACAGGTCTGCCCCAGCTCCCAGAGCGCTGACACTGCAGAGATCTCAGCGTCCTGACCCCTGGCCCAGTGCTCTGTCCGGCCCACCGGCTGCGATAAGTCCGTTCTGTGTGAGAACAATAATGACTTTCGCTCAAGCACACCTTGGCTGTCAGGTCCTATGCCAACGGCTTTGCTTATACTGTCTCGTTTCATTTCCCTTTTATCGTTTCCACTTCACAGATGGGAAAAAGGGGGGTCTGTTTTGGTGAAGTCAGTGACCCAGGTCACATATCTATTATAATAAGTGATGTAGGCAGGACAGGGCCCTGTGATTTATCAGATTTATCTGCAGAGATCACACCCTTAATGATGGCTGCCCAGCAGGGGTGCAGCCGCCCCAGGGACGTCCCTTTTGTCTCATCTACTGCTCCTTTGGTTCCCTCCTATAGGCATCAGTCACGGCTCGGTGGTAGCTGGCGTCATCGGCGCTAAGAAGCCCCAGTATGACATTTGGGGCAAAACCGTGAACCTGGCCAGTCGAATGGACAGCACGGGGGTCAGCGGCAGGATCCAAGTCCCCGAGGAGACCTATCTCATCCTGAAGGAGCAGGGCTTCGCCTTTGCCTACCGCGGGGAGATCTACGTGAAGGGCATCAGTGAGCAGGAAGGGAAAATCAAAACGTACTTTCTCCTGGGAAGAGTGCAACCCAACCCCTTCAGCCTGCCCCCGAGAAGACTGCCCGGCCAGTACTCCTTGGCCGCAGTCGTCCTGGGCCTTGTCCAGTCCCTCAACAGGCAAAGGCAGAAGCAGCTGCTCACCGAGAACAACAACCCGGGGATCATCAAAGGCCATTACAACCGGCGGACTTTGTTGGCACCGAGCGGGCCGGAGCCCGGACCCCAAGCCGAAGGCCCCGACAAGTCCGATTTGCCATAAAAGCATTTTCTTTGTGTTTCTTTTTTTTGTATTTCTTTTATATATAAAATAAATATACTAATAAAAAGGTTTAATTTTTTTTAGAACAAGGATGGTTTCATTGGTCTTTGGATGCATGAGATCGAAGACGTGATTGGAGTTTCTCTCCAATCACAAACACTTATCGACCATCTCTTACATGCAAGATTCGTTGGGAAGCGGAAATAAGGCCTCTTCCCTGCCCTGGAGAGGGTCACCATTGAGTGTGACAGTAGGACAGGCAAACAGAGACTGGGCCCAATCGGATAACCAGTAACAACTGGCGTGTACTGAGTACGTGTTGTGTACCAGGCCCAATGCCAAACTCTGCATGGCGACCGCCTGTGACCTTCACAACACCCTGACATTCATTCTGCCAGGTTGTGTTGGGCACCTGCAGTGTACCTGAGCTTTCCTAGGCTCCAGAGAAACCCTGGCCAAAGTCTTGCCCTCGTAGAGTTAACATTCAGGAAGGAGGGTTGGAGAGGTGGGAGGGGGGAAGGGGAATGGATAATACTCCTCTAAACCAATATACAAATACTCTACTTTCAGATAGGGGTAGATGCAATAAAGTAAGTAGGACAACTGGGATGAGGAATCGGAGTTTGGGGGTGCCGATTTAACTGGAGCCACCAGGACAGCTTCTTGGACACATGATGCTAAGACATGCATAGCCAGCTCTACCTGTGAGGCAGAGGCAGCCCACAGGACCTGGGAGAAGAGTGACCCAAGTAGAACAAACAGCAAGTGCAAAAGCCCTGGGGTGCCATCGGCCCACTTGCTCTGCTGAAGGGACGATGGGTAGGAAGCTGTTGTGGGCAGGCACACCATTTCCTGGGGAGACTGCACGCTGAGCTCTTATGACCACAAGGCCTACCGGGAAAGTGTCACACAGATGAGAAAGCTCAGAAACAGAGTTACTCCCAAATCACATACTTGCTTATAGTACTAGGATCAGAACTACATCGGTCAATAAAAGCTGACTGTTCTAACAAACGCCTCCCACTGTCAGTGGCTAAAACACAACGTGAGATTTACCTCTCATTCACGCGCAGACGGATGTGTGGCAGGGAACCTCCGTGCAATGACATCAGGACTCGACCTCCTTCCATTTAGGGCTTAGTGTCCTCTGCTTTGTCCTCTACCTGCAGTCCCGCTGAAGAGAAGCGCAGGGAAGGAGGAAGGGTCACTCCGAGGACCTGAGGCATCAGGCCTGGAAGCCACATTCATTAGCGCTCTGTCCTGGGCCAGAGTCAGTCCCCGGCCTCACGTCGCTGCAAGGGAAGTTAGGGGACGGACTGTTCCTGTGCTCACTGCTAAGAGGAAAATGAAGCACCATGGGAAGTCTTGCCTCTTCCCTAAGAATCTACACCTGTCAAAGCCAAAGCCCGTGTTTGC